TTTTTATACCTTATAACTTTTGTCTGAAACATTTCTTTCAAAACGTCATCCTCTCGAGTAAATTCGAGGTTCCGACCTTTTTTGAACACCCTGAGTAGATATACTCCTTATTCCTTATTCTTTTCATTGCTTCTGAAACCTTGCTCTCTTGAAAATTATTTATTTTTAGAGAACAGAACATGTGATCTCTTAATTTCTTGTCGTAATGTACATTTTTAAAATATATATACATTCATTGCAGAAAAAAATTAAAATTAACAATCATCAAATATATTCATGCACAACAATGCAAAATAAAATTGAATGTCCTAGAAAGAAAGAGAATGTACGAATTAATTTGCAGACGGTATGCCCCAGAGCAGCTCAACAGTAGGAAAACTCAAAAAATTGTGTAGCTTCTACCTAAATACGAAACAAAATTTAAAACACAATTAGTATATTGATACAAAACTGTAATAAAAAAATTCAAAAATTGCATATTCTCCAATTATTTATAATTTAGAAAATTAAGAATTGTAGCTGCATATGTGTGTGTTGTAAGTACATATATATGTATGTGTATAGAATAGCATCAAAAAATTTTATAAAATAATTTAACAAAAAACTTTAGATAAAAGTTTTGTTTTCATATAAAAAAAAATCCTTTAGCAACGCACGCACGCACGCACGCACGCACGCACGCACGTACGCACGCACACATGTTGCTAAAGAATTTTTCCTTTATATGAAAATAAATAATTGTCAATGATAGATGTGGCAACCTAGCCAAAAAAAAGAACTCAAATCAGCTGACTCAGAGCATCACCTGGTGGTTTCTTCCGGAAACTTTTTGATCAAGCTGTTTTGGTGTGTGTGGGTGTGTGTGTGTGTGTGTGTGTGTGTGTGTGTGTGTGTGTGTGCGTGTGTATATACACACACATATGATGTTATTGTTAAAGCACATCTAGGATGTTATTGTTAAAGCTTTGAATTTTTTAAGTAAATTTTTTTCTTATTTTTCTTGCATATTTTTTAAAAATAATATTGATTGTGAGATGTTTAAAAAAAAAATTCTTAAAAGCAAAACCAAATCTTTTCAGGAAGAATTTTTTAAATTATGAATCATGAAAATAATGGCACCACTGACATTCTGAATTTAAAATATAGAAGCGTATAATTGGATTCTCTCTCTCTCTCTCTCTCTCCCTCCCTTTCTCCCTTCCTCCCTCTTTTCCTTTCCCTTTTCGCTCTCACTCTCTCTCTCTCTCTCTGTGTTTCAAATGCATCTTTGTTGTATATTATTTAGATATATGAAATATTAATCTTTCTTTTTTTAAATATTTTTGCCTACACATAAAGGATCACAAACTGCGGTTAATTCTTTTATAATTTCAGAATAGGCTTATTAAATTCTATTTTTCATATTTTTCTTCATTGTAAGAATAATTGGCATAATACGATTTTTAACGTGTATCTCTATAAATAATAATCTATCGATGGCAAATTTGATGTAGGACATCTGACCTTAGATAAAAGTATCGCTTATGAAGAGTGGACTTAATTAGATCGGAAAGTCCTATACACCATTTTGCAATTTTCATACTAATTAACGAGAATTAATTACTAAATTAATTATATTGTCACAAGCTATGTTTCCTTTCGATTCATATTTTGTATAACAATTTCCAGATCATCTTATCTTACAATCCATTTATTCTTTGATAAATAAATTTTGGGGTTTCGTCTTGAACCTTTGTCCATCGAACTTTTGTCGAATGTTCTGAATTTCCAAGCAGCATGAATTGGACGCAGCATTATTGGAATGTTGAATATCTGTAGAATTTTATTTGAGAACAAGATTGTTAAAACAATTTTTTATTTATGCGAAATGTCATATTTACACTTCTTGTAAATTTTTTCACTTACTGATAATAAATGTGAACCAAAATGTTTAGGATTTTAATTTTGTAAGTTGAGTTTTTCAATAGATAAATTTTAATTTTAGGCACATACATCTGGCTCATTGAGTTGTTACTGATACTTGTTTGAATTTTTAATTCTCTGAGCCTTTAGATACTTTAGTTAATTTTCGTTAATAATTCGTTGAATAAACGCGTATTCTGCCAACGTCGTAGATTGCTAAGCATGGGGAATTGTTTATTACAAACTGCAATGGCAACACAAAAGCGGTCAAAAAGAGAAAATCTTCCCGCGTTGTATCTCGCCGCGTGTTTGTATTTAGAGGTAAATCTGGTGAACATGCGCTCATTCAACGATCTTTAATAATTAATTAATTTCGTTAATTACTGTTAAAATTGGAAAATGATACTTTTCGACTAAATTCCGTTTTGCTTATCCATAAGCAATATTCCACCTAATATCAGATATCTTATGTACAGATTCTTCACTTTTCTTCATTAACCATTTATTTAAAGAAAGGATCATTTTTTAATTCATTTTTCAATAAAAAGTTTTAATATTATGAGATAAAGCACCATCGTGTTGCCTCTATATTTAAATAACGCTCTCTACATGAATGTAGGAAAATATTTACGTAAAAATAAAAATAAGAGTAACAATCTCTATGATTTTGATATATGTTGTCAAAGTCATGATCCTGAAAACAATATTCAAGAGTCATAAAAAATCTTGATGTCAGCTACAAAAATATTTTATGGGAAGTAGGCATTTCCATTAAAAATTTTGAATTTTTTATTTTCACAGATTCTCCACATTTGCGCTCAAAATTAAAAATTTTGATGCATTTGTTGAAATCTTACAACACGTGAGATATTTTTTTCTCGAATGTCTTGTTTTCAAAATATTTTGGTCCGATACTTTTCAGTCACCCTATATAATATAACAAACATTTTTTCATACATAGAGTGTAAAGGAATAAATTTTTGAAAATAATTTTTTTTAATGTCATTGATGTGATTAAATAGAAGTATTTTTATTACAAAATACTTAAATATAAAACATTTTTTGGTACTTCGAATAGTTTTTGAGATATAAATAATGAAAAATCCTTCGGCATCTTTTTTATCTCTTAAAATTATTTTTGGACCATAACTAATAATACATATAACTAATAATTTCTAACTTCATCTATTTATTTCCTAGATACTAATGAAATCGAGATTTGGCACTTCACGAGATTCCCTTATAACTGGACTTATTGGTAATCGAACACCGAGAAGAATAATAAATGCTAGACATTCATTAAAAGATAGATTTAATGAGCAATGCACTATTCTATGTAGCATTAAATATATATATTTTATCCGTACTCTTGTATTATTTTTGTATTTAGAGTCTCTCTAAATTTGGCCTATGGGGTGATAAAAGTGGAATGCCAAAATTATAGTCTACAGCACAAGTCTACTAATCACCACGTACTTGCGCGAATGCAGTTAAACTGAGTCACACACACACTTTCTGCAACAGTAACAATACGATTTTCGATTAATCGCGTTGTTCAATTCAATTGTCCGTAACCGTAAGAATCAAACAACGCGATTGGTCGAAAACCTTGCTGTTATTGTACGGAAAGTGTGTGACTAGCTTTACGCACGCTAACCTGTCGAAGTGCACTATAGTGTACATAACCTTAGCAGGACAAGTCATATATACATATGTATCACAAAAGAATACATTACACAAATAGTTATATATAACCTGCTAATGGAATTACATAGCATACACTGTGAGAACCTAGTACAATTAGGTGCAGATGCGCGCGCAACACATGCCCAGCCCATCATGGCATCATAACATTCAGGGCATGGAAGGGGCATGACATTAGGGTCTGTAAAAGTACGAGAAATGTAAAGATTACAGAAGTCAAATTTAGAGAGATTCTACTGTAGTTTTGTCCTTTTCTATCAATAAACCTTTGTTTTGGAGCAAAGGCATTATATAGTTACTCAACCAAAAGATGAGCCATTGAACAAAACGTACTTTTGCTTCAATAAAATATTTTTTGAATAAAATATTATATCCTGAACTTACATTAGAAGATTTGAAATAACTTTTAAACAACCTAATACAAAAACATTTACACAATATAATATTAAGATGAAACAAAATGCCTCTTCTGTATTTTCATAAAGAAAGAGTTATTTTTAAATTGCTATATCTCGAAAACGACAAATCATACCGAAATTTTGCATTTTAAAACTAAAAATTGATATTTTTTGCATAGCCTTAATGAAATTTAGAAAAAAAAATTGCTGTCGGTATTATATATATATAAAAATAAAATATGTGTATATGTGTGTGTGTGTGTGTGTGTGTGTGTGTGTGTGTGTGTGTGCGTGTGTGTGTGTACATATATACATATATATATGTACACACACACACACACACACACAGGATGTCTCACACTATCACATTTCCTCTTAAGAGCATATTCTTGAGGTAATTTTGAGACGAAAATCTTAATATAAAAATGTCGAGACTATAATAATTTTTTGAATTATAACTCTAAATACTTACAAGTCAAAAACCATTTTACTTTTATTAGCCTCTGAATTCTTTTGAACATTCTAAGACGAAATTCCTAATACAAAAATATTGAAGTTATAATAATTGTTGAATTATACATTATCTTTAACCAATTATAATTCAAAAAAACTATTGTAGCCTCTACATTTTTGTATTAAGAGAGAAATTTTCGTTTCAAAATTACCTCAAAAATATATCTTTAAGAGGAAAGTGCGATAGTTGTGAGATATCCTGTATATATATTATGTTATAAAAATTCTCAAAATCATCATTTTTGGCGTCTTTGGTTTTTTCTCAAAAAATAGTGACGTAATAATAGCTAAATTTGACCAACAGATTCCTATTCGACAAACAAAAATACATCAAAAACTGACTATTCATACCGGTATTGCAAAAAAAATGTCATATTTTGTCAGACAGTGTTATTAAAGGATGATGTGCCATTAAAAGAAAATAACACAAAAGAAAAAAATTACAAAAACTACTTAAAATAAAGAATACTATTAAATACATACCTTAGAATCAAAATTGGTAAAGTCGGCGAAACCGGAAGATGTAAAACTATTATTGTTATCGATTGTTTGTTGAGCGCTAAATGGATCTGAATTTGCATTCGCAAATGGATCTGGAGTTGGTGAAGGCGTTGGAGGTGCAGGTGCTGCTCTCAATGGCCCAGTAGGGCCTTGACTCGGTCGAGGTGGAGCTGGACGTGGCGGTGGTT